AGCGCTCGGCAGACACACTCACCATGTCGGCGGCGTTCAGCGAGAAGGAAGAGGCCCCGCCCGGCCGTGCGCATGTGTCGGCGGAAGCTCCGCCCCGACGTCCAACGTGGCCACCGATTGGTCGAGGGAGACGTGCGTGCGCTTGCGCATGCTCGGTGGGTAAAAGCATGGCGGTGGTGTCTCCGTTCAGCTTGCATCTTCTCAGACACGTGCAGTGAAGTTGGCATTCTAGTTTTCCTTTTTTGTGTGTCTGGTTCTGTCGGAGACAAGGTCTCTCAGTGTTGGCCTTCCACTCTATATAGTCTAGGCAGGCCCAAATGCTGGCATGACAGGACGGTCACCCCTGAGAACTTTAGGGACAGGGAGGACATAGGGCCGGTGCTTTCTGTTCAGACTGTTCGCACCCCACTTCGCCTTCCTTCCTCCCTCCCTCCCTCCCTCCCTCCCTCCCTCCCTCCCTCCGTCTCTCTCTCTCGACAGGGTTTCTCTGTGTAGCTTTGGTGTCTGTCCTGGATCTCACTCACAGAGATCCGCCTGGCTCTGCCTCCCGAGTGCTGGGATTCTGGGATTAAAGGCGTGCCCCACCACCTCCCGGCCACTTTTCTTATGTAAGATCAGCCGAGTGTGGTGGCACACGCCCTTAATGCCAGCACTCGGAAGGCAGAGGCAGAAACAAGAATCCCAGGCCAGTTTCCTCTGCAAACTGAGTTCTGTGACAACCAGGGCTATATAATGAGACCCTGTTTTAAAAAACAAAGATACGGACGCTGGGAACACAAGAAGGCGGTGGTTGGGTCCAGAATCCCAGATCTCCAGATCTTAGCGTGTCATACATAATTCCTTCACAAATCTTAGGTTGGGTCATTTGGGAAGAAATCTTCCCCCTCCACCCTTTCGTGTTCCTTCTGCATTTATTTACGTTTGCTTGTGTGAGGGTGCGAGTGCCATCGGGCATACGTACGGGGAGGTCAGTACTTGTGGGAATTGCTTGTCTGCTTCCGAAATGTAGGTCCCTGGGACTGAACTCGGGTTATCAGACCTGGCAGCAAGCCTCTTTATCCACTGGGTCATATCACTGGCCCGAATATATAATTTTCTAAGACATGACAAGAATGGCCATATCACTACTTTTTCTTTCTTTTCTTTTGTTGTTTTGTTTAGATTTTTGTTAGTTTCTTTTGAGACAAGGTCTCTCTATTTAACCCTGGTTATCCTGGAACTAGGTAGACCAGGCTGGTCATGAACTCTCAGAGATCTATCTGCCTGTGCCTCCCAAGTGCTATGATTAAAGACATGGGCCATCATGCCTGACCCTTTTTATTTTTCTAATAGTGCATGCAAACTGGGAACTATAGAAACCTATCAACAAGAGAATGGATAACTTTTTGGTAGCCTATAACAACAAAGTCTCCGAGACTTTGGAACAATGAGGGTGAAGTTCACACAGAGCCCTAAGTGAAGTAAACATATGAAAAATATATACTGTATTGTTTTATTTTACATAAAATTCACAACTGGCAAAACCTTGAATGTCAGAAGCATGGATTGTGGCTCTGGGAGGTGACTCGTGGGTAAAGCCTATAACCACAGGTCAGGAGTTCGAATCTAACACCCCATAAGTACGCTGAGTGCGGTGGCTTCCCTATAATCCCAGCCCTCAGGAGGCTGAGGCAGTCAGATCCCAGAGACCACTGGCCAAAGAACCCAGCCTAAGATCCAAGTCCCACAACAGACCTTGTCTCAAAAACTAAGTGGAAAGCAATGAGGAAGATGCCTGGCGGCAACTGCTGGCTTTTACAGCGATGCACGCACGCACGCACGCACACAACTGAACACGCAGGTGCACACACGCGGGACACATGAGGAAAATAACAAAACAAACTAGGATCAGCCTTGTTTCTCGGAGGTGCAGGCCATGGTTGCTGGAGGTAGCAGGCGTCTGAGTTTCTGGTCGTGCTGCCCCTCATCCCGCCAGCGCGACACAGGAGGGTTTGCTTTGTGCAGACAAAGATCTGCCCGTGGTAGCTGTGCCCTTTCTTCTCCAAGTGTGAGCGTTCCCTGGCCCTACTGTAACCAGAGAATTATACGCAGGAGGGGAGGGCCGAGATGGTTTGACATCCAGTGGTATAGTGAACGCACTTTAGGAAATACGGGGGAAATCCTTCGGTTTACAGGACTTTTCCATGACTATGCAGTTGGGTTTTGTCACTCTGTTCCCATCCGTTCAGTGTTCTCTTCTACCCACTGGCCTACAGCAGGGACAGCAGAGCCTGGAGTCCAAGGCCCTCCATCATCTCACCCGGACACCCTCCGCTGTTTTAATATTTGTTTGTTTTTTTTTTCCTTCCAGAAAGACCAGAGCACATCCTTGTGGGACGCCTCAAGACCTTTGCCAAGAAGCATCAGGCTGCTTCAGGTTTCTTCCCAGCTGTTTCATTGACAAGGTAACTTTTTCCCAGCAAGTGTCACCTTTGCTCTAGTGCAGCAGTTCTGAACCTGTGGGTCGGGACCTCACTGAGATTGAAAGACTCTTTCACAAGGGTCACCATCGGAAAACACAGATATTTACATTACGGTTCAGAACAGTAGCAAAATTACAGTTATGAAGTAGCAACAAAAATAATGTTATGGTTGGGAGTCACCACAACATGAGGAACTACAGCATTAAGAAGGTTGAGAACCTTATGAATCATAATGTAAATATCTGATATGCAAGGTATCTGATATTCAACCCAGACCCCACGACCTACAGGTTGAAAACAGCTGCACTACAGTGAGACAGTAATCAAGATACCAGCTAGCGGCCGGGCGGTGGTGGCACACGCCTTTAATGTCAGCACTTGGGAGGCAGAGGCAGGCGGATCTTTGTGAGTTCGAGGCCAGCCTGATCTACAGAGCAAGATCCAGGAAAGGTGCAAAGCTACACAGAGAAACCTTGTCTCAAAAAACAAAAAAAAAAAAAAAAAAAAAAAAAAGATACCAGCTAGCCCTCTGGAACCAGCTAGCCAGACAGAGCATGCGCAGTCACTGTAAGGAAGAGCATATGAGGTTTACACCGGGGGTCAAGATGGTGGCTGCCAAGCTCTGGTTCCTTGGACCTTTGCCCAATGCCCATCAAAAGGCAGGTGAAGGGCTGGAGAGATGGCTTAGTGGAATTTTATTCCCAGTATCCACATCAGGTAGCCCACAACCACCTGTAACTCCAACCCCAGAGGATCTGACGCCTCTGGCCTCCAACCACACATACATAAATAAAAATTAAAAAAAAAAAAAAAGAAGGAAGGAAGAAAAAGGCTGGCGGGGCTGCCACCTACTGCAAGGGAAGCCCTGGGAGCGCTCAGGAGAGCTCAGCAGCTGTCCTTGTTATCTGGCCCCATCCCTTGCTTGTTGCAGAGGTCCAGGTAGAAGACAGCAGGCACCCTGCCCAGCTTATCACAGGCCTGATGCCCAAAGCTTCTGCCAACGGCTGCTCTGGGGGTGTACCCCGGCTTTCCTACTCGCCGGGGATGGAGGAAATATTTGAAGCTTCAAAGAGAAAAAAAAGTCTGTGCCAGAAGTGAACCCAAAGCTAGCCCGCCCCTGATACGTACTTATTATGAACAGCTGTGCCCACCCATCTGCGCACCGGAAGGTAGAGGCCAGTGCAGACTGCCCCAGTTTGCTTTCCAGTGTGGGGAGAAAACATGTGACCAACAGCAACTGTAAGAGCCAAAGTTACATTTTACGTTTTAATTACTGTACCTAAGAGCTCCATACAGAAAAATGCCTCTAACCTGTAAGTCCCTTGTCCAAGGACAGACACTTCCCGAAATGCTGGAGGCTGTTGTTTATGGAGATAACAAACCATGTTTTCACTCCCCTAAACAGGTTTGTTTGACTCAACTACCGCAGATGTGCTTGATCACATGTGTACGTAGGCAGATATGTCAGGATGTGTGCTTGCCCCTGACTGGACCTGATGGGAAATACAGTGGCCTTTTTAAGCCTCTGCAAGGCATGACTCGTGGCCATTTTCTGGGAAGCCAGAGATGGACCTGGCTAGAGACTCCATCAACCTGGCCAGTATTGAATTGAAGCTTGCTTCAGATTTGTCTTTAAAATGTGGTAGTGGTCTTTTTCTCGGGCGGTGGGATTAACACAGCTAGAGGAGGAAAGGGTTTATTTGGCTGACACCTTACAGTCCACCGTGAAGGGAAGCAGGGCAGGAACCTGGAGGCCGGAACTGAAGCAGATGTTGTAGAGGAACACAACATCGTCTTGGCTTGCTCAGTCTGCTTTCTCACACACCCCAGGACCACCTGTCCAGGGGTGAAGCAGTCCCAGTGAGCTGGGCCCTCCCGAATTAACACCGATTAAGAAAATGTTCCACAGACTTGGCTCTTACAGAGCAAGGGTCCGTTTTCCGATGGCCCTAGCTTGTGTCAAGTGGTCAAAACCAAAACGGTGCACTGGGTACCTCCCTCAGTCGTTCTTCACTCCATTTTCTGAGACAATGTCTCACTGAACCCAGTTTGCCAGTTCTGCTAGCTGGCCTCTGAGCCCCAGAAATGCACTTATCTCCACCTCCCTGGCATGAGCATGGCCACTCAGTCCACCAATAGTAACTCTTCATGTGTGTGATGGGGATTCAAATTCAGGCCTTTATGGACATCAAGTACTTTACCCACTTTGTACTAATGTGGGGGTGGGGGAGGTCACCTTGGAGGCCCGAGATACACCTTGGAGTATCCAATCCCCTAAGGCTAGAGGTATAAGTAGTTGGACCTGAAAAGTGAGCTAATTCTCTGCAAGAGCATCAAGAAAGCACTCAGCTTTCATCTCTGCAGCCCCAACAAGCCCCGTTTCAGACAATTCCTTAATTGTTGTTTTATTTTATGTATATGATTGTTTGCATGTATTTCTGAGCACCAAGTGCAAACAAACGTAGTACCCTCAGAGGCCAGAAGGAGGCATCACACCCCTTGGAACTGGAGTTTTATAGAAGGTTATGAGCTGCTATGTAGGTCCTCTATAAGAGCAGAAAGAACTAGTAACCACTGAGCCATCTCTCCAGCCCCTCTGAAGAAACCTCACCTTGAGAACAAGAGTGGAGAGTGAAGTGGTACTGTGTGAGAAATCCCAGGGAAAGCTTTCTGTGAGGACAGGGCAGAGAGCTGAGGGAAAGGATAGTACAGGCAAGAGTGACTGAGAATCCTCGCAAGCACCCTGCAATGCATGCACAAGGCCCTCTCCATCCTGGGCCTGGCCTGTGTGTCATACCCAGAGGGCAGGGAGAGGGTGGGGGTCAGAGAGGTGCTCCGGAAGACTGACGGGGCTTGCCTGGGCTAGCTCCAATGAGTGTTCCTCAGAAGCCTGTTTTGAGTTCTGTTGTCTGCTCACAGTGGCTGTTGTGACCCTGTAGTCTGGTGTAGACAGAGCATACGGAACCTGGGTTGTTAGGAGAACTGGGTCCTGGGAAGCTTTCCTGCAGGAGGGTTGAGGGATGAAGCTGGAAACAAGCAGCAGGCAGATTAGGAATGTGACTCGGTGGTAAGAGAGATACGTGAGAACCTGGGTTCAAACCTCAAACACTGCCAAAATTAATGCATTTAAAGCCAGTCACAGTTGATCCATAAGAAAACATGCGTGTGTGTTTTTGTTTGTTTGTTTGTCTGTTTTGTTTTTCCAGACAGGGTTTCTTTGTGTAGTTTTGGTGCCTGTCCTGGATCTCGCTCTGTAGACCAGGCTGGCCTCGAACTCACAGAGATCTGCCTGGGATTAAAATCGTGCGCTGCTGCTGCTGCTGCCGCCGCCGCCACCGCCG